ATGACAGAGTGTATTGTCATTGAAATGCATAGAACACATTATACTCTCATATCTATGCCTGGCCATGGCAGCAGAGATTATGGGCATATGATGAAATGGGTCTGTGGACCAATAAAGCCGCAATTCATTTTTTTTTTTTGTAATGCCCATGTTGAGCGTTAGGCCCAAAAAAATTTTACATTCAGAAATCATAATGAGTTTCCATGCGACTGCTCTGGCAAGGTTTGAATGTGAGTTGGTGGCAATAAACTGTTGTGCATATAAATTGATTTGATCCACAACCAATGCATACAGATCTTCTGTGAAAAAAAAGCTCCAAAAAAATCAAGAGGAGTATTTAAATTTGCTGCTTCCACCTGAATTCCAGGTTGGGCAGTGAATGGGGGAAGTACGGGTGCTGCAGAATTTTTGGGCTACCAATCGGGACTTGCAAGGCACATCTGGAAGGATACTAGGGGCTCTATGGGCCTGTGTGTGAATTCTTGGTGGCTGCAGGACACTACTTGTGTTCGCCACTCCATCAGCTTGTACTGTACTTATGGGACTCACAATGTCACCAAGTGATACTGCAGTGCTGGTATGTGAAAGACCAGGATGTACTAGGCCGCTGGTGTACAGCCATCCAGAGCAGTGTGCCAGAGCCGACAGGGAGGAGGACTGTTAGTAAACAAAGCAGCCCTCCTCCCCATCGGTGATCATCGGTAACCACCAGGCACCAGCGGGTAATCATTGGGTGGGACCAGTGATTGACAGCCGTGGCCACAAATGGCAGTGTGAGTAGGGCATGCACACGACTCGCGCACACCCCCTACACGGAAATGCAAACTCACGTATATATATATATATATATATATATATATATATATATATATATATACACATATACACACACACATACACACACACGTGATTTTGCACATCCGTGCCGCCCTGTAGCAGTATTTCTGCTATAGAGCGGTCGGGAAGCGGTTAAGGGGGGATATGATCAACGTGTATAAATACATCAGTGGTTCATATAGTGAACACGATATCGAATTATTCACCCTGAGGTCATCGCAGAGGACAAGGGGGCACTCTTTACATCTGAAGGAAAAGAAATTTAATCGCCAAACATGAAAAGGTTTTTTCACAGTAAGTGAAAATGTGGAATAGACTCCCTCAAGAGTTGGTTCTGACCAGCTCAGTGGATTGCTTTAACCTGTTGGTGCCGGCCGCATGCAAATGTGTGGCCTCTGGCGTCTGGGAAGCTTAAATCCTTTATAGAGTTACAGAAAGCTACACATATGTCTCCTCAACAGCATTATGTTTACTTGCAGATATGACATTTTTTCTCCTCAAAGATCCCCTCCCTGACTCTAGAGAAGCCCACTCACTTTGAACACATTTGCATTCAGGGTCCTTGCCAATGGGGCCTAATCTCCTCCATTTATAAACTATTACAGGACACCTATCCCCTATCTACAGACCTGCATCTCTATGTATGGAAATGGCCCCAAATCCTCCAACAAGATATTCCCGTAGATCACTGGAGTAAGATTTGGGAGGCCACTTCCAGATCTTCTAAATGTGAGATATATAAGAAAAATACTTATAAAGTTTTGGTGTTTTGGTACAGGACCCCTGAGGTCCTCCACAATCGTAATCCACATTTTTCTCCTGTCTGCTGGCGATGTGGCAAGAAAAAATTGGTATTCTTTCACATTTTATGGCTTTGCAGACACATTAAACCTTTCTGGAGAGAGGTCCTAAGCCTTTTACAGCTTATTTTGCAGGTTCCCATCCCATTTGATCCTATTCACTTTTTTTGGGCCTACCTTTTACAGGCCTCTCCAAATTTGCCAGGAAACTATCTTCCCAACAGCAGCCAGGAGAACCATACCAATACATTGGTTATCCACTACACCTCCCTCACGGTCAGAATTGATAAAACGCATTGGTGAGGTTAGAAGAATGGAATATTTAATTGCCATACATGCCAACCTTGTCCCCCTTTTTGAAGTGGCTTGGGAACCATGGGATTTTTCTACTTACAATATGTCCATTTAGACGCCCTGATGTTGCCGGCTAGCCAACTGTTATCCTATGACAATGTATGTGTGTGCAATTTTTCATCGATGAGTCTGCTCCTCTGTTCCTTTGTATGTTTTGTGATTTATGTTACTGATGTCTCACAGTGCTATGCAACTACTTGCCTGTTGTATTTTTTTCAAAAACTAAATAAAAACAAGATTATAAAAAAAAAAAAAATAGCTTAACAAAAATTCCCCACAACTTTAGTCACATCCTTCATCTGCAGTGAATTATGTCCTGGTAACGTAATCCTAGAGAATTTTTCACTGTGGGTGGGACCACAATCATGAAGGGGGGGAAGACAGCCCACACATATGTAGGGGGCCCAGTCCCCAACCAGGGCCATCTTTAATGCGGGATAAAAAGGTCCCTTGAGCCCACACTGCCCCTATTGTTGCCATAATTTTCATTAAGCTCAAGACAGCTGTTTCCTGTGCTGAGTCACAGAAATGAGAACTACAGGTACATCAGCAACTCTGTATGCTCTCTCTTCCAGCTGCTGCAACTTCCCCTATTGTTCTGTCTCTCTCTTGGCCCTCTCCGATATCTCCCCCCCACAATTTTCCGCCCCTGCAGCAGTCTGTCCAGTCGTGTAGTGTGCCACCCAGACCTGCCCCTTTGATAAGCTGGGCCAATAGACTCCAGCGGGGTGAGAGTTTTGCAGCTGGAAATTTCAATATGGAAGTGTGATTGATTGGAGCTGTTTGACTGTAGAGATGTAGGTGAGCCCCAGGATCTAGGCATTTCTCCTGGATCAGGGTTGTACTGAGGGTGCAGGAGGGATAGAAGAACTACAGAGGGAGTAAGCTGCAAGAGAGGTCAAGTGCAATGTTTTGGCCAATCACAGCACACGATGATGTCAAAAGGTGTGCGGCCACCCAGTTGATGTCACCGCTTAAATATTTAAGAACTGTCAGGCCGACGCAGCTGTCACATGGCTGGGAGCCAGTGTCAAGAATGGAGCGTTTTTTTCTTTTCTTTTTTCGGGTCAGTGGTGGTGGCGGGCATCATGATTGACATTGGATCGACTTCAAGGGATATTTTTAAAATTGTTTTTAGTAAAGGTCTTGTCAAAGACTATTTTCTGTCATTTTTTACACTACACTTTTTTTTGTGTGAATGAGTTGCGGTACCATGTACCCCATACTTATTCACATTGGGGGGTGGGATCTGGGGGCCCTCTTGTTAAAGGGGGCTTCCAGATTCCAATAAGCCCCCCACCAGCAGACCCCCACAACCACCGGCCACGGTTGTGGGGAAGAGTACTGTATTTTAGAAGCTGTGCGGTATCTTACCACATACTTGGATGCAGTAAGATATGCTTAGTTCAACGCAGGGGCGGACTGACCATTTGGAAACTCAAGCACTGCCCGAGGGCCCAGGGTCAGTAGAGGGCCCCATGAGATGCCCCTGGTACCTTTTTCATCGGCTTTTTTGAGTTTGGGCAAGGACACAGGGGCCCCATGATTCCCTATTGCCCGGGAGCCCCATGAGTTGTCAGTCCGCCCCTGGTTCAACGTTCGTGGTCAAACCTAGGTTTGAATATTTGACCGTGGACCAAACAGGGGGGTGTACAGCCCATCACTATTCTCCAACAAAAAATGACTGGTGTCATATTGTATTATTTGTGATGTTTAATGTGTTTGTTGTTGATGTTCAGTATCACTCTGCCCTCTCTGCCTAACCCAGGTCATGTATTTGATGCTGTAAGAATGATTCTATGTGAGCATAACTGATTTTTATGTAATTTTATTTTGTATCAAATAACATATTTTTACTGAAAATATATCACACTCTTTAGACATTTGACACCTTAAAAATCTTGTTATAATCTGTTGTGTGACATTGCAGCCAGCACAGTGGCTAAATGTTTAGCACTTCCACCTGGCAGCACTAGGGTCATTGGTTCAAATCCCAACCATGGCACCACCTGCCTGGAGTTTGCATGTTCTCCCTGTGCCTGCATGGGTTTCCTCCCACACTCCAAAGACATGCTGGTAGGCTAATTGGATCCTGTCTAAATTGGTCTTAATTTGTGTATTGTGAGTTAGGGACCTTCAATTGTACGCCCCTTGAGGGTTAGGGACTGATGTGAATGTATATATGTAAAGTGCTGTGTAAATTGACAGCACTATATAAATACATGTAATAATAATTGTGTAATATTGGGATGAGATGTCTAATTGGGTAAGTGTTATAGATAGGATCTTACCCAGTCAGAAAAGCTTTTTTCAGTGTTAAAGAAAAACATTATCCAATGGCATGTTGCAAAAATTTCATAAAGCAATAGGATGAACTAAAGCTGGCCATAGGTGGATGTTTTTTTTTTTTAACAAACAATAACAAACAGGTTAATTTGAGGTGGATGAAACCAGGGGCGGACTGACAACTCATGGGGCCCCTGGCAAGAGGAGATCATGGGACCCCTGTGTCCTTGCCCAGACTCAAAAAAGCCTATGAAAAAAGGTACCAGGGGCATCTCATGGGGCCCCCTACTGACCCCGGGCCAGTTTCCAAATGGTCAGTCCGCCCCTGGATGAAACACATATGAGGTCAATGAAGAAATTCTCTCTGCTTTGCTATTACACTCTGACAGCGGAACTCCACCACTGTCAGAATTCACTGATCAGCACTGCCGTCAATTGCCTTCAAGAACTTATTGAACAAAATATTCCAACAGTCATTATTAGATTAGATTGACTCCTCTCGAACGGAAATGGCCATACATAGATCAAAATTTGTTTGGTTTCTGCTGAGCCAGCAAAATTTCGATCCCTCTGTGGCCAGTTTAACAGCCCATGTTCTATCATCTATTCTCTTTTTTTTTTAATTTTGGGTTCTTTTAGTTATTCTGTTCTTTGCTGTTATTTTTGAAGTTTGCAGCTTTGTAGTGAAACATGAGAGCAATAAAATGAGGATAGATATGATACCTGCTGAAAATGGCATGAAGGCATCTTTCTTCTGAAAATTCCCTTGTGAGTCCAGGAAATGTTGAGGATTAAATGTGTAAGGCTTTTCAAACTGAGTCTTGTCATAAAGGACAGATGCTAGAAGAGGGACAATGTAGGTACCCTATAAAATATACATAAATAAAATTATACATAAATAAATAACAATTAATAATTTTACCACGTGATCACTATTCGAGTATATGTAAGCCTTAACAATGAACTATTATACCATTGAAAATATTTTGTAATAAAAAGTAAACTAATGCAACCACCACATCTGGTAAGCTGCAATACATTATATTAGTTCTTTGATTTAAATAAAGTTTAATGTTTTTGTTCCAGAACTGTTAATAATAGATCAGAGAACTGAAACTTACTTTTGGAATAAAGTAGCCCATAAAGTGAACATCCTTAGTAGTCAGATGGGGTAGGTCCATTGGTAGTATATTTGCAAATCTTTGGATCTCATGTAGAACAGCATTGGTATAAGGCATTTGATCACGATGGTTGTATTTAGGCTGCATGATACCAATCACTTTTGCAATTTCATCTTGTACTTTTTCTACAAAAGAAAAAAATAAAGTGCATCAACCAACTAAGTATCTTCCTGCTGAGCCACCTGGAATGCTGGACAGCTCCCTGGACCATCCCTTTAACCACTTCCTCACCGAAACCGATAGCAGTAATACTGCTACAAGGCGGCACGGGTGCACAAAATCATGTATATATACATGTTTTGCATTTCTGGGTAGGGGGCGCGCGCATGCCGCGCACGCTCCGTTATTCATGGCCTTGGATTTCAATCACCGGGTCCTGGTCGCTGATTACTTGCCAGCACCCGGTGATCAAGGAGCATTACTGACGGAGGGAGAGAACTGTAAGTAAATAATACAATTCTCTCCCCTGTTAGCTCCTGCACACTGGTATGCATGGCTTTGCATAGCAGAGCCATGCAAATCAGTGTGATTACCGTGAAGTACACACACACAGCACATAGTAATACAGCACACAGTTAACTCTTTGACCGCTTCACGTTAACCTTCCTGCTCAGTGCCATTAGCACAGTGTCAGTGCTTGTTATTAATACTGATCACTGTATTGGTGTCACTGGGGATGTCAGTGATACCAAATCAGTTCCCCCCAGTGTTAGAATGCTCACCGCAGTCCTGCTATAAGTCGTTGATCACCGCCATTACTAGTAACAAAAAAAAAAATCCCAGTATAAATAATGCGATTTGTAAATGCTACAACTTTCACGTAAACCAATTAATTTACATGTATTGGAATATATTTTAGTAAAAGACATGTAGCAGAATACACTTTGGCCTAAATTTATGACTAAATTTAATTTATTAATTTTTTTCACTGGACATGTTTAATAGCAAAAAGGTCAAAAATATTATTTTTTATCAAAAGTGTTTTTTTTATAGCGCAAAAGATAAAAAACGCACAGGTGATCAAATACCACTGAATGAAAGCTCTATTCATGGGAAAAAAAAGGACATAAATTTCATTTGGGTGCAGCGCTGCATGACTGGGCAATTGTCAGTTAAAGTAAAGCAAAAAATGGTCTGGTCAGGAAGGGGGGGGGGGGGTAAATCCTCTGGAGGGCAAGTTGAACCTTGAACCCTTTGCTCATCCCATGAACTTCCTATTTAAGCCATGCCTTTGTACTTCCTGTTTGCCAGATTATTGTGCTTTCTCCAGCCAATATCGCACTCTTGCCACTCCTGCTGTCATCCGTATCTTTGCTACCACTCGTTACCAATTTTTGGCTTGTTCCTCGACGCTTCTGCTTGATCCTATCCTGCAACTACTTGTTACAAACCTTTGACTTGGTTACTGACTTCTCTTCTGTTTGATCCTTGCCTGTTATATCCACTACTGGACCTCTTCTTGCTAACCTCATGGTGGGAGGTTCCTGAGAACCACCACCTGGTACTAGAACCTAGCAAAACCCATCTTCACCATCAGGAGCTCTGGAAGATTTCCCCTTTATTACTGTTCTGGAGACAACTCAGAATATGGGATTTTCTTTTACATTCACTTTTAATAATAATGGTATGCAAGACAAATAGAGAGGATGAATCCCCCTCATGTGGTTAGAGGTAGCAATAAAACCTGACTGGTGTTCTAATCCTTCTGCACTCTGTCCAATACTGAAAAAAACAAAAAACAAACAAACCAAAAAAAAAGGAAAATTTTACATTTACTTATACTTTAAGAGTGTGTGTGTGTGTGTAGTTAAAGTGCCATAGGGTTTAGGCAGGGGTTGACACACTATTTGTGCACAAGCTTCATCTGGGACTTTGGGGTCATTTATGTCAGATATGGGTCAGACAGGTGCTATGGCCCTCGCAAAACATACAAAAGATTTCCCAGCAACACTTACTTACTCCTTAAAGGTACAGGGACGCACGTGATGCCCAGCTATACCAAAATCACAGCAAAGGCATCCAGTGCGTCCAATTTAGCCAACTACAGAAAAAATGGCAACTGTCCCAACCTATAACCAGCCTTAGCAGTAAGGTGCACATGGAAGGGCAATGCACATAGTACATTTAGTATAGTTGGGCGTCATGTGCGTCCCTGTACCTTTAAAGAGGGATGGGCTCCTCCAGGCACATCTGCCCTTAACCTATCCATTTATACATGTGCTCCCACTATGGAGGCTTTGGACACTTTAGTTAGGTCCACAGTATAAAGAGGACCCTTGACATGGGACTGTAGCTTATGCATGTATTTGCAAATGTGTGCAAAAAAACCCCTCTGTTTTTAACACATACTATTAGACAGGGCCAAAATGGTTGTTTCGCAACCTGTTTGGCAAGTGTTGCTGGGAAATCTTTTGTTTGTTTTGCGATGTGCATTGCCCTTCCATGTGCACCTCACTGCTATGGCTGGTTATAGGTTGGAACGTTTGACATTTTTTTTATAGGTGCTATGGCCCTTCCACCTGGAAACTGTACAGTCCTTGGGAAGGGTGGTGAGGGGACAGGCTGGCCATGTCCTTGCACAAAGTGTCATTCTGTGCTAAGTGCGAGGCAAGAAGGAACATCTCAACGTCCTCTCATCATTTCTCCTCTGCTCTTCCAGGTAACCACTGATTCCACTGCTATAACAAACCTCCTACTCTGCCTGCTGCAATTGACATCTGCCTTCTGTTGCCCTCATTAACCACTGATTCCAATGCTCTCTCAAACCTCCTACTCTGCCTTCTGTTGCCCTCAGTAACCACTGATTCCAATGCTCTCCCAAACCTCCTACTCTGCCTTCTGTTGCCCTCAGTAACCACTGATTCCACTGCTCTCCCAAACCTCCTACTCTGCCTTCTGTTGCCCTCAGTAACCACTGATTCCAATGCTCTCTCAAACCTCCTACTCTGCCTTCTGTTGCCCTCAGTAACCACTGATTCCAATGCTCTCCCAAACCTCCTACTCTGCCTTCTGTTGCCTTCAGTAACCACTGATTCCACTGCTCTCCCAAACCTCCTACTCTGCCTTCTGTTGCCCTCAGTAACCACTGATTCCACTGCTCTCCCAAACCTCCTACTCTGCCTTCTGTTGCCTTCAGTAACCACTGATTCCGCTGCTCTCTCAATCGCTAAGCTATTCTGCATGACTGAAATTATCTGCTTTGTTAGATTTTTTAGAACTACTGTTCATACTTGCCTGTATTAGGTGTACTTATGCAGGCCATAGATGGGTCGAAAATCGGCCGATTTTTCGGTCGAAAATAAAATCGGCCGATTTTCGGATCGTTAGTGGGCGATTTGGTCGGCTGTTTTTCGGTATTTTGGCCGGTTTTTTTTTTTCGATGAAAGTTGAAAAAAAAATCGGCCGATTTTGCCGATCGGCCGATTTTCGCGGCAATTAGTGGGCAAATCGGCCGATTTTTTTACCGATAAAAAATCTGCGCATGAGCAGTGACCTGCAAAAGGAAGACAAAAAGAAGAAAAAGAGGAAGAGGATGAAGAAGAAGAAGAGGAAGAAGAAGAGGATGAAGAAGAAGAGGATGAAGAAGAGGATGAGGATGAAGAAGAAGAAGAAGAAGAGGATGAAGAAGAAGAAAGAGGATGAGGATGAAGAAGAAGAAGAGGATGAAGAAGAAGAGGATGAGGATGAAGAAGAAGAAGAAGAAGAGGATGATGATGATGAAGAAGAGGATGAGGATGAAGAAGAAGAAGAAGAAGAAGAAGAGGATGAGGATGAAGAAGAAGAAGAAGAAGAGGATGAGGATGATGAAGAAGAAGAAGAAGATGAGGATGATGAAGAAGAAGAAGAAGAAGAAGAGGATGAGGATGAGGAAGAAGAGGAGGAGGATGAAGAAGAAGAGAGGAGGAGGATGAGGAGGAGGATGATGAAGAAGAAGAGGATGAGGATGATGAAGAAGAAGAGGATTAGGATGATGAAGAAGAAGAGGATGAGGATGAGGAAGAAGAGGATGAGGATGATGAAGAAGAAGAGGATGAGGATGATGAAGAAGAAGAAGAAGAAGAAGAGGATGAGGATGAAGAAGAAGAAGAAGTAGGATGAAAATAAGAAGAATTCCAGTCCAGCAAAAAGTATCTCTGCAGAGAGCTCCGCTATTTCTGACAGTTCTCTGACAGTTCTTTGACATTTACAGCGGTTGAAACATTGTATCTATTTGTTTCCGAATAAAAACATCTGTATCCTAAATGGAAACAAATAGATACAATGTTTCAACCACTGTAAATGTGAAGGAACTGTCAGAAATAGCGGAGCTCTCTGCAGGGACACTTTTTGCCAGCTGTAGAAGGGATGAAAATCGGCCGATTTTTTTTTTTACCATTGATGGGAACGTCGGCCGCTTGAACGACCGAATTTTCGTTTTTTAAAAGAAAAATCTGCCGTTTTTCTCCCCATCTATGGCCTGCATTAGTCTCATAGTGCCATATCTTGTGTCCATCCTGCTTGCTGTTTTGTTAAGGGCAGCACACCTCCACCATGTGTCATTTATTAGCTCTTAATTGAACAATTGCCTAACTTCCCCCCGTCCATCCAAGTATAAATTCAGTATAGTCCCTGGGATGGCTGGCATTCCTTGCGCAACGTATGCATAATGGCGCTAAGTACATGGTACTTTAAACACGGCAACAAGGGAACATCTCAGCATCCTCTCATCACTTCTCCTCTGCTCAACAGGTAACCACTGCTTCCATTGCCCTCTGAAACTTCCTGCTCTGCCTGCAACTGACATCTGCCTCCCTGTTGCCCTTGGTAACCACTGCTTCCACTGCTCTCTCAATCGCTAAACTACTTTGCATGCCTCAAATTATCTGCTTTGTTAGATTTTTTTCTGTTTTTTTTTTTTTTTGTAACTACTGTGTATACTTCCCTGTATGAAGTGACCTTAGCCTCATAGTGCCTTAGCTGAGGTCAAACACCTTGCCATATCTTGTGTCCATCCTGCTTGCAATTTGTTAAGGGCAGAACACATCCCCCATGTATCATTTATTAGCTCTTAATTAAACAATTGCCTAACCTCCCCCCCGTCCATCCAAGTATATATTCAGTACAGTCCTTAGGGTGGCTGGTGAGGGGACAG